AAAGCTTAGAGATATGGAAATCAAGAACACAGTTGTGTATAAGAGACAGGAGAGAGAGAGAGAGAGAGAGAGAGAGAGAGAGAGAGAGATCAGTGTCATAGTGTTGTTGTAAGTACAGCAGTAGCGACCATGGCGGACCTAATTGGCGATGCGGATGAGGCATGGAAAAAGGAGAAGGGAGGCGAGTCGGACAAAAGCTTTGAGCAATTGGAGAGGGAGTTTCAGGATGTGCTCCAGGATCTCCTTGGAGACAAAACTTTGGACAGGTTCAGGATTGAGTATGAGAAGCTGCACAGGGCCTTGAAGAAGTCTCACGAGAGCGAAAAGCGGTTGATGAAAAAATGTCGGGAGTTGAATTCAGAGATTGTATCAAATGCTGCCAAGGTCCAAAGTGCATTGAAGCTCAGCGAAGAGGACCAACATACCATTCTGGCTTTGAAAAAGGAGATCGAGAAGGCATGGAAGATGGTGGATACAAGCCACGAGAAGGAGGCGAAGGCGAAAGAGAATATCCAACAGCTGAAGACGGAAATCGCCAGCCTGAGCCGGCTGGTGGAGCAAGGGTCAGGAATGAATATGGGCCAAGAGAGCACGTTGAACGAGCTGCTGAGGCAGAAGGAGGAGTTGATGAGGGAGAAGGAAAACCAGATGAGCCAGTTGATGAGCCTCCGGGAGGAGGCAACTCAGGCCTCAGAGCGATGCAGGATAGCGGAGCATGAGAAGGCCTCGATGGAGCAGGAGCTATCGAAACTTCGTGACAGCATAGCTGCAAAGAAAGCGGAGGGAGAAAGGGAGCTGAAGAAGAAGGACAGGTTGGAGAAGGAGTTGAAGGAGCTGAAGCAGTCCTTAGAGGTGAAGCAACAGGAGATCAAGGAGAAGCAGACAGCTGTCACACAAGGACAAGAACAAGTCAGCAAGCTCGAGCATATGCTACGTGAACACAAGGCCGCAAACGACAAACTTCAAAAGGACTATGAGATGCTTAATCAGAAGGTGGTGAAGCTGCACCAAGACTTGGAGGAACAGATACACACAAACACTCAGCTTCTGGCCGACAACTCGCAGCGCCACGTGGAGCTGAAGGTGAAGGAGGAGGAGATTACATCGATCAAAGCAGAGGCGGCGAGAGTAAACAAGCTGAGAGAGAATACCATCAGCAAGATCAAGGTGTTGGAGAAGCAAAAGCTAGAGGTGGAGAAGCAAAGGGATGACCTGAAGCAAGAGGTGAGCACCTTGGACAGGGAGGTGGATGCGCAGCGCCGGATGTTGGAATTGGAAAGGAAGAAGCAGGAGGAGCTAATGAGGGAGAAGGACATTCTGAACAAGGTGAAGACGCAAGCAGAGCATGCAGCGCAGAAGCATTTGGATCTGATCAGGATCAACGAAGGAACAGCGAAGAACCTTGAGCAGGAGATACAAGGGTACAAGGCGGAAGCGCAGAAACAGGCGAGGGTAATTTTCCACCTGGAGAAGGAGAGGGAGAAGTATGGAACCGAGGCATCCGAGGCCACTAACAAGTACATGCAAGCTCTGGAAGAAGTCAAGATGCGAGAGATGACAATCATCGAGCTACAGAAGAAGATCGTCGAAGCCGAGAGCAAGATGAAACAGCAACAGACACTCTACGAGGCCGTGCGAGGGGACCGGAACCTGTACAGCAAGAACCTCATCGAGAGCCAGGACGAAATCGGCGAGATGAAACGCAAGTTCAAGATCATGAATCATCAGATACAACAGTTGAAGGAAGAGATTGCTACCAAGGATTTGGCGCTCGTCAAGGAGCATTTTGACCACATGAAGGTGGAGAAGGAGAAGGAGGCACTGCGTTTCGAGATGAACAAAGCCCAGCAGCAGATCAACGAAGCAGAATCCGCCATCGCCAGCCAGAAAGCGGAGATCGAGAAGCTCAACCACATCATCAACGAAGCCGATCAGGAGCAACTCCGACAGAAGAAGGAGTACGACATGGTGATCAACGAGCGCGACATCCTCGGAACGCAACTGATTCGCCGCAACGACGAGCTTGCGCTCCTCTACGAGAAGATCAAGATTCAACAGTCGACGCTCAACAAAGGTCAGATTCAGTACCGCGATCGCGTGAACGAGATACGAGTGTTGAAGATCAAGCTTGCGGATCTGAAGAGGGAGTTGTCCATCCTCATCAACAGTGTACAAAACATCGATGTGCTCAAGCGGGAGGTCCACCACTTGGGCAGGGAGCTACTCCAGGAGCGGACGAAGGTCAAGGCGTTGTCCGAGGAGCTTGAAAACCCGCTGAATGTCCACAGATGGCGAAAACTCGAAGGAAGCGACCCTACGAGCTACGAGATGATACAGAAGATTCAGACGCTTCAGAAGAGACTGATAGCAAAGACGGAGGAGGTGGTGGAGAAGGACATGCTGATCCAGGAGAAGGAGAAGCTATACGTGGAGCTTAAGAACATCCTGGCTAGGCAACCGGGGCCCGAAGTGATGGAACAACTCGCGGTTTATCAACAACACCTTAGGGAAAAGACGAGACAGATGAAGGCCATGGTAAGTGAACTCAACATGTACCAAGTGCAGGTGAACGAGTACAAGTACGAGATCGAGCGGCTCACTCGAGACCTTGACGAAATGAAGAGGAAGTACTATGATCAAAAGAGGCGCGACCAGGTGGAGAGAGACAGGAAGAGGGCGGAATCGCAACACCTAGGGGGGCTTACCACTGTGAAACCCGTGCTGCCACTGTTGGCGGCCAGGTTCACGGGGGGAGGGTTCAACGTCGACGTTCATGCTGGATCCAAAGCGAAACAATATGTCGAACCTGTGGATGCAGAACGAGCGCCAGGTGCAGAAGGGGAAAATCTGCTCAAGTCTGCATCAACCGTAGCTCGCTATGCTCCCGCCGGAGAAATCACTGTCAGCTCATGAATGAACTCTTCCAAGTCCCAACCAATGACTTGGCAGATGACGCAGCCGATGACTCAGCTGACGACTCGGCGGATGACCCTCGGAAGAGGAGAAGGAATCAATCAACCATCCATCTTCTTATCTTATACTTGGATGCATGAGCATAGTAGCACCGACGAACGATCAGTGGACCACAGTTCCACTGCTGCTCTTCATTCTCCTGTGAATTGCGTCCAGGTTCCGAAGCAACCTTGGACGCATATGGCCGCAATTGCAACCAAATTCATTCTCCTGCTTCTTAAGACCTGCACTTCTTCAGTTGTGAAACAGCTGCTTTTAGCCTAGAAGAACTTGATGGTGGATCCTACTGCAATTGCAGCCAAATTCATTCTCCCGTTTTGTCCCTGAGGCGATGGAGATTGAAAAACAAAATCCTACCATAAAAACGGACAGGATGAAGTCTTGGGGGGAAGAGAGGGGGGGGGGGGGGGGGGTGTGGCATACTGCGCAGCCACACGGGCCTGCAGGGCC